TTATCACCATCGCCGTCGTCACTTGTTTATTATTACATGTCTAGGAGGCCTTCCTTGCAAAATCTCGAATACTACTACAACACCACCACTACTACTACTACTACTACTACTACCACTACCACCACTACTACTACTACTACTACTACTACTACTACTACTACTATTAATAATAAAACCTACGAATTTAAGAACACAAATCATCGGAAAATTATTACCATAGATTTAAAATTCACTGATTTAACCATTGACGAAAAATTCGATACCAATACAAACAAGAATATAAACAAATGCGTAAGCAAAGATCTAAACAAAAATGTAAACAAAGATACAAACAAAGATGTAAATAAAACAATAAACAAAAATGTAAGCAAAGATTCAAACAAAGATGTAAATAAAACAGTAAACAAAAATGCAAGCAAAGATACAAACAAAGATGTAAACAAAAATAAAAATATAAACGACAAAAAGAACAGCAACGGTGACGTCATATCTAGCAAAACATCTTCGCTAGTAAACATAAACATTAAGAAATTTACCGGCTCTCACAGACTCTCTGGTAAAGCCATACCACCATGTGAGCCCATTTACAATGCTTATAACGATTTTGCTATAAGTAGCTACAAAGCATTTCGATTTCGTAATAATAATAACGATAATAATAACGATAAAATTAACAGAAATAACACCATAATTATAACCGGAGATGTTATAGATGATAAAGATAACTTGAAGAACAAGTTAAAAGACATTATCAGACATTACCATTTCGTCAACAAACACGTCAACAAAAAATTTAAGAAAAACAGCAACAGCAGCAACTACAACAACAGCAGCAACTACAACAACAGCAGCAACAACAAAATGAAACGGAGACGGCAAACGTACACTGTGTATTTGTGTAAAGTTGTCGAAAAGACAATTGAAGAAACTTGCAATATCACGTCAACTAACAACAACTGCAACAATAGCAACAACAACATCAACAACAACAACAACAAAACAACGGTCGTCATCAGTGGCAGCAATATTGACGCAATGACCTCAACTACTCTTGCCACCACAAAGGACAACGACAGCAGCCACAACATCGAATCGACCAACAACATCGAATTGACCAACATAAACAACAACAACAACAACAACATTGAATACTACGATGTCGGCAACAACAACAGCAACATTGCAAAAACCACCACCTTCACCGGTACCAACAACAAAATCAACAACATTACTACAAAAAGCAGCAGCAACAGCAGTAGCCACAACAACTACAAAGACGTCGCAGTGTCAACAAGTGTCATCCAAACTTGGGACCAGCCGCAGGACGACATTGACATTAACTTTCCATACTTGTCTGAAGTTTGGACTGTCAACAGACACCAGCAAAAGCAGCAATACAGAAACTATCTCCAACTACTGCAACAACAAAATAGTAAATCGCAAATATGCAGACACCACCATCACCACCAACAACAACAACAACAACAACAACGTCAAACAGTAGCATACAATAAAAAAAGATCGCTCTATTCAATTAATCGCTCTGGTAAGAACAAATGCCTACCAATTCATGTCCATAGCAAAAAGATGGAAGTTAAAAGTTCATTTTGGAGCCGGTAAATTATGGCTGTAATATATTTTTGTAATAATTTTTGAAAAAAAGAAGTTAATTATAAATGGGCGGTGGCCAGGTGGTGTAGTGGTTAAAGCGCCTGCGATTGTTGTTGCGGTGACCGCATTCGATGACAAAGACATCTCCACCTATTATGTGCGATTGTTTGTGATTTAAAATTCACATGTGCGTGTACGTCTGTGAGTGTTTTGTAAAATATATACGAGCAATGATAAAATTATTGAAAAAAAAGTATATTCATGACAAAAAATTTATGAAATAAAATAATTAATTCAATAAACTTTTATATTCAAAAGGTACTTGAAAAGGTACTTGAAGAAGGTTCCAGATCAGGTTGAAGGTCAACCGGAAATAGACGCCGAGCATCAAATGGGTGATCAGCCTGCCAACGTCCACCACAGAAGCAGTAGCCGGAATGATGGAGAAGGAAAAAATGAGGTCTTGAAAAGTTGGGATGACCTAGTTGAGGGTGATCAGAAGGTCAAAGATGGTAATCAGAAGGTCAAGGATGGTGATCGGGAGGTCAAGGGTGGTGAAAGGTCAGAGGTCATTCAGAAAGATAGGAAAGAATTGACGTCACCAGAGCAACAACAATCGCCGCAACTGCAACAACAGCAAAGACATGATTTCAAGAACCAACGCCAGCAACATCATCTCAGTGAATATTTGCGACAGACAGGTGAACAAAATCAACCGTCCCAGCAACAACCACAGCAGCTGCCATATCAGAAGCATTCATCGAAGAGACAACAGACGATACAACAGATCCAACATCAACTCTATTTAAACTTCCATCATCAACATCAACAACATCATCAACATATCTGTAAGCATCAGCTGCCAAGCAAACAACAAACACATCTAGAACAAAAACAAAATGGCGCCGAGCAAAAGCAACAAAAACATTTGAATCAACAACAAAAACATTCGGATCAACAACAAAAACATTTGGATCAACAACAAAACATGACACAACAACCACAACAACCGCAACAACAACAACACAAAAAACACATAGTCGCAGAGCACATACAAGCACTTCAACAGACTTTTAAACAGACCAGCAACAAAGCCGAGGGCAACAATCACCATCATCAACTTCAACAAAACACAGTTCAAAACGACCAAAAAATCTCCAAACTCCAACTTGATCTAACTAGCGGTAACAATCCGGATAATCTCACCGCCCCACTATCTACATCGGCCGACGACCGCCCTTCTAAGAGTGCCAGGGTCAGATCAAACAGCCTCGGAAGCATCCTAGACACCCACGAGAAAAATATTAACAAAGTCTCCACATCAACTTCCACCGATGGTGACAAAAGCGTTCTGGGACATGGAAAAATCCTGAAAACATTCTATCCATTCAAAGTCCAAGACACTGAAAATAACAACAAAGTAAAGGCCCTACAGAATTGTTTCTCAAGCGGATATCGAGGAGATGCTGAAATTGGCAGCAGCCTAACTTCCAGAAAGGCAAATAACGTTCCGGAACCGCCCACTTCAAAAGAAGGGGGTGACAAGACTGAGGTCGAGGGGGTGGAAATTTTGAATGGAAAGAAAAAAGGGCCCCCAGCCAATGGTACTGCCATTTTGAGCAACCTTGCTAGGTCATGGTTTGGTGCTAACAACGGTCAGATAAGTGAGTCCTTTAATTCTATTCTATTGCTATTATTACTACTACTACTACTACTACTTCTACTTCTACTACTTCTACAACTACTACTACTACTACTATTACTACTACTACTACTACTACTACAACTACTACTACTACTACAACAACTACTACTACTACTACAACAACAACAACTACATCCTTTTATTTTCATTTCAAAACACACAATGTAATTATATAAAGTTAAAGTAATATAACTTATAATGTTAAATAATAATAATGATAATATTAATAATATAAATAATAATCTCTAAAGGTATGGCAGGTATGACGCTGATGGTATTTCTCTTTCTAATCGTCTTCCTCATCTTCAAATGTGCCGGATATTAATAATAATAATTATTATTATAATTATAATTATATTAATAAGAATAATAAAGACATTAAGACTAATGAATAAAAATAGGTTTGGAGGTTGGTGAAATAATTGCTATATAAATAGAGAGATAAATAAATAGATGGATAGATAGGTAGATAGATAGATAGATAGGTAGATAGATATATATTAATTTGTTAATTTTCGTCAAAAGATGTCAGAACGAATTCAAGAGATATGATACTGATTTCGAATATTTCGTTTCAGTTTCGTTATTATTATAATTAAAATTAAATAATTATAACAACAACAACAACAAAAATAACAACACAATAACCATAATAACAGCAATAATAATAATAAACAGAGAAGTTATAACAAGAGCAACAAAACTCTTTCGGTTTAACAATTTCGCCATTTAAACTCGTCCCAGTTTCGTGAAATAATCAAACAACAATACAACAACAATAATTATAACTATAATATTTTTTAATGACATAATAAGTTAATCATTAATAATAATCAGTATATAATATATATTATTATATAATTATCATTACTGTAATTATACAGAATTGACATTCTTAATTAGAAAACTATTTTAATAGGAGCAATTGATTTGTTAAACTATAATATATGTATATATATATATATATATATATGTATATATATATATATATTATATACTATTATAATTTACTTTAATTGTCATAATTATATGCTATTGTTATTTTTGTTGTTGTTGTTGTTGTTGTTTACTGATAGCACTCAACAACACTGTCGTTCTGGAAAAGAACTAGAAATGGAAATACATACAAACATACACACACACACATACATACATACATACATACATACATACATACATACATACATGCATGCATGCATACATACATACATACAAACATACATACATACAGCATGCATGCATGCATACATACATACATACATACATACATACATACATACATACATACATACATACATACATACATACATACAAATATACATACAAACAAATGCACTGTTAATTGCACCATCACGTCTCTAGATGCTCGTAAAATATTATTTTTATTCTAGATGAAAACCGGTTGGAACCATCATCTTCATCGTCGTCATCGTCATCATCATTAGAAATGAATGAATGAACGAATGAACGAACGAACAAATGAAAGAATGAATGAATGAATGAATAAATTAATGAATGAATAAAAGTTTCCTTAAAAGTAAGATCTGATTATTTATCTTCTGAGCGATAATAAAATTATTCTCCTGATACAAAAATAAGAAGAAAAAACAAACTGCTTATCAACAACCCGGCATTGTATAAAAGAATTTTATTCATTCATTCGTTCATTCAATCATTCATTCATCCATTCATTTATTCTTTCACTCATTTATTCATTCGTGCATTCATTTATTCATCCATTCATTCGTTCAATCGTTCGTTCGCTCATTTATTTTTGAATAAATAAATGAAGGATAAATAATTGAATGAGTGAAAGCAAGAAATAAAAATGAATGAATGAATTAAAAAAAGAATGATAGAATGAATGAACGAATGAATGAGTGAATGTAAAATTTTTCTATAAAACATCTAAATACAAGATGTAACAGCATCCGCTCGTCAGCAAATAATATTTACATGCATTTCATTTCCACTATTATAAAAATACTACTACTACTACTACTACTGCTACTACTACTACTACACTACTACTACTACTATACTACTACCACTACTACTATAACTGCTACTGCTACTACAACTACCACTACTACAACTACTACTACTCCTACTACTGCTACTACTACTACTATAGCTGCTACTACTACTATTTTAGCTGCTACTACTACTAACAATAATAACAATTATAGTAATGATAATTCAGTATTTCCTGTTACTTTCAAACAAAGATTGTTTGGGAAACAAGAAGTTGACTAATTAGATTACGTAACATGAAAATAAAAAATTATATTAGTGATGTATTAGTACCACCGACGTGTAACTTTCCCTTACCTTCTCTTTCTCTCTTTCTTTCACTCTTTCTTCTTTCCTCTTTCTTTCATTTTATTTCTCCTTTTTCTTACTTGCTCGATCTCTCTTTCTTCTTTTATTTTCTTACTCACGCTATGTCTTTATTGTTTTATTTCTTTTTTCTTGTCATCTTTCATTTCTCTCTTTCTCTTTCTCTTCCTTTCTCTCTCTCCCTCTCCCTCTCTCTCTTTATATATATATATATATATCCAATGTATCCAAATGTATCCAATAAAAAGGAATTGTATATCCGTGTTTATGTTAGTAAGTTTGAGGCGAGGCATGCAAAAACAAAAACAATTTATCAATATCATTTGATGCACCCTTTTTCGTTCTCTCTCTCTCTCTATCGTTCTCTCTCCCTCCCTCTCTCTTTCTCTTTCTTTCTCTCTCTTTCTCTCTCTCTTTCTTTCTCTCTCTATATATATACATACATATAGTATATGTTCTGTATGATATTTAAAAAGTCTGAATATATAAGTATTGCAGTTGAGATGTAACTCAATGAAAACATTCAAATATTAATATGTATATATTTATAAAATGAGGAACAAGAATATTATTTTTAATTATAACTAACTAAAACATTATTATTATTATAATTATTATTATTATTATTATCGCTATCATCACTTACGTAATGATGACTCCATAGTTTTATTAGTTTCATTTGTAAGAAAAAGAACAATAAAGGGGTTGTTAATGATATGGAAAAATCAATCTAGCTATGTTGTAATTAGTTTTCATTAGGAAAGTAGAAGAGAGAGAGAGAAAGAAAGAGAGAGAAAGAAAGAGAGAAAAAAAAGAAAGAGAAAGAGAGAGATAAATTTAGAAAGAGAGAAAGAGAGAGAGAAAAAGAGAAAAAGAGAACGTGATGTCATATTGACGATCCTGATAGCTAGCAATTGTGTTGATCGCTTTATTTTATTCAACATTTTAAACGACAAAGAAATAATAACAACAATTATAATAACATAGAAATAATATTAATTCTAATTATAAATATTATCGAAATTAACAAATAATATTAATAAATATTAAATAAGAGAAAAATGAACAAAGTTTGGATAAAGCTCATGTGGATCTGCCTAATTGTAATGACGAAAATACTGGATATGTTGCCTCAACATGTTGTACAAGCTAGATACAGAGGTAGGAGTTATCACATAATCATCGTCATCTTCTTCTTCATCATCATCACCATCATCGCCATCATCGTCACCATGGTCACCATCGTCTTCGTCATCATCGTCACTATCACTATCATAATTGTCATCATTCTCGTTCTCATTGTCTTCTTCCTCTTCTTCTTCTTCCTCTTCATCATCATCGTCATAATTACCATCTTCATCGCCATCATCATTATCACCATCACCATAAGTTACCTAATCGTCATCAGCACCCACTTAACTCCTTCACCAATACTTCAATTGTTTATATATATGTTCCATGCGTTCAGCTACCATCATCGTCGTCATCATCATAGTCGTCGTCACCATCATCATCATCATCAACGGATATCATTACCATCCTCACTATTTTTCCTATTAAGTTTCGTTTGATGCCACTGTGATTATGTTTAGGTTTCTCTTGTTCATCTTGCTGATGATGACGCTAATGACGCTGCTGCTCTTGCTGCTACAACTGATGACGATTAAGACACTGATAATGATGATAATAATGATGACAATAATGATGATGTTGATGATGATGTAGTAGTAGTAATAGTAGCAGTAGTAGAGTATTATTATTATTATTATTATTATTATTATTATTATTAGTAGTAGTAGTAGTAGTAGTAGTAGTAGTAGTAGTTGTAGTTGTAGTAGTAGTAG